AGAGAGATACACTATTTTTCTATCTTATCAGCAATAATTTAATTAATACAGTATACAGATAGTATGTCTCTTGAGGTCATTAATTCGTAATTGTTCTGGAAGAGGTAATTGTTCTGGAAGAGGTGTCAATCACATCGAATTGATATTTGTCGTCAAGCATTTATCAGACAAATTATCCTTTGTCAATGTACCAGCACAAATTTGTACACTTTATGCTGCATTATTAGACAAAACATGAATATTTTTCAATAAAAGAGAAGTTTTTGAGCAGATCTTTGAAAATCCAATATGATTTTTCAAAATTTTAATGCTTGTTTTCAAAAAATGGTTTAAAATCTGATGAAAATCCATATTTCAAGAAATTAGAGTTTTTACTGCGCTGTTTTGATTTAGCATTAAAAAGTTTATTTCTAGCTCAAAATACATTAAATGATCTGAAAAGTTCAGTATATAATTGATTTCTTTCGCTAAACGTGATTATGAGATTAAGAAACAAATCCATTCGACAAATCATTAATTTTTTTAATAAGTTGAATAACATAAATTATATTCGGTGAGGCATGAGGTGTTTTAATGCTAAACCTATGTATTTTCTATACGATTAGAAAATGACTACAAATCACCGGATACCAGTCCCGGAACTCCAAAGAAATTCAATATCATCCACAAACCACTGAAAATCAACACTATGCTTTTGACTCATATTTTAAAGAGAATATGTTGAACTATATCCTAATAATGTAAAAAATTTGCCATGTTACCACTTTAAGTTTCGAAGATATAGATTGACTTTCCAAAGATCTTTTTAAAAACTCAGTACTATGCAGTTCAATAGAAGCTTTAGAAATCGACAGAAAATACCCTGGTTTTTGAAAGGGTTCTCTAGAAACCTTCCGAAGTACAAGAATGTTTTTTACTATTGTCAAGAAAAAATCGTTTGGAGCAAGTAAAATAGAGTACATCGTGATATTCTGACATAACTTGGATTGATCTTGACTGAGTTATGAATTTCTGAATTTTACTCAAAAATAGGCAAAAATGCAATATTTCACCTAATGTACGTTTTTACTAGGTTTCTAGAACTGTTTTGAGAAACAAATATTGCCACGAGATTTAGTATAGTCAGTAACCTATGTTTTCATTGATTTCTGACAGTCCCAAACCTAACGGGAGAGGAGTCCTAAGCTTCAAGGAAATCGCCCGTAGCTCCCGAATCATGGATTTTTGAGATGTCGTTTGGATCTGGTTATGTAGAGAATACCTTGGACTATCCATATACGAGAAAAAAACTGATAGATTTCTATGTAAAACTTTGGAGCTATAAGCTGGTTTTTCAGAGATGCACTTAGAAATCATCTAGAGATCTGCGCAAAAGTTTTAGTTTCTGCATATTATTACGTGTCACGATCTTGGCTACACGACCCCGATCTCGATAGCTCATTTCGTTCTCGAGTTATTCGTGTCGCAATCACCCACACTATATTTTGAAATGGATAGTGGTTTTAACAATTTGTCATCGAAATGTTGTTGGTTACATCCAAGACAAACAGACATTCTCGTTTCACGAAGATAATTTATACTAAAACTACAATCATTATTCATTCTTACAAGAGAATTCAGCCTGCATAAAATATGCATAATGTTGTTAGATCAAGTTTTTTTCTGTCCTGACTTACTTCTAGACATAATTTTTGCTTCAAAGAGTCATTAAATAATTTTTAGTATATCGTATTTAACGAATTCTTATCAGTTTAAATGTTAATTAAGGCAATTTAGAGAGCTTATCAATTGTTAATACAAAAACTCTAGTGTACATAAATAACTTACCGATAAACAGAAAGATACTTAAAGAATTTTAATGAAATTTATCTCTAAAGATATCTGAAACCGAGTCTATCTCATTAACTCTAAACATTTTTTATAATGGCTTTTGAGATAATGATGGAGAATGTGATGGTCAAATTTTAAGAATGTTCAGCTTAAAACCCCAAGAGAATAAAGAAGTACGACTGAAATACTCTCTTTATAATTAATTCATCTCATTCTAGAATCGACGAATTCTGTTTTGTTGATTTATCAAAATTTTATTTTAAATTTCTATATTTTTACTTATGTATTTTTCATATTCAAAGCATCGTAGAAGATCATAAAAAAAATGGCCAGTGCATTAGCTACAAAAAGCCGCCCTTGTTGCCTGTTGTGTAAACAATTAGGATTATTTTCCTATTCATCAATACGTTCATCGTCGTTATCAAGCAAAAAGAGCACAGTGACTGTAACCGATGATTTTCGAGCATCTAAACCAAGAGGACAAATTAAAGGAATTGATTTGTTAAGAAATCCAGCTTTGAACAAAGTTGGTGAATCTTACCAAAAAACATTGGTTGTTTTTGTACAATTAGATCATATTTGTAGGGAATGGCATTTACACTGGAAGAACGGCAACATATGGGTATTCATGGTCTGTTGCCCTCTGCAGTACTGTCTCAGGATATTCAAGCAATGAGAGTGATGATTAATTTTCACCGTACACATGGCGAGTGAAAACATCAAATTTTTATATTTCTGTTAATATAGATTCATTTCTTATTTAGATGACTTAGATCGTTATTCTGAGCTCATGAATTTATGTGAAAGGAATGAAAAATTATTTTATCGAGTTATTGCAGATAATTTAGATGAATTGTTACCAATAGTTTATACACCTACCGTAGGCCTAGCTTGTCAGAAATATGGTCTTGTATTCAAACGGCCAAGAGGTTTATTCATTACCATTCATGACAAAGGTCATATCTACGATGTGCTTTGCAACTGGACTGACCAACATGTGAAAGTAGGAATGATTTAGATCAAAATCATTGCAAGAACTATGTCATTTCTGTTGTTTTAGGCGATTGTCGTAACAGATGGAGAGCGCATTTTGGTAAGAATTTTTCTTGTACTACCCTTTACGATGAACAATATTATTGTGGATTTGTTGCTTTAGGGTTTGGGAGATCTAGGAGCATCTGGAATGGGTATACCAGTAGGGAAATTACAGTTATATACAGGTTTGTTCTTTCCTTCAGCATTAATGAGAGTCATCAGAATGTATCTTGATTTTTTTCAGCTATAGCTGGTATTCCTCCTGAACATTGCTTACCAATTATGCTTGATGTGGGTACTAACAACGAAGTAAGTGTCACTTATAAGACTAGTGTTCAATCCGGTAAGAATTCCATATTACTATAGGAAATATCAAATAATCCATTGTACATTGGTTTACGACAAAAGCGTGTCACTGGTAAAGAATACGATGAATTTATGGATGAATTCATGGATGCTGTTGTACAACGGTAAAGTTTTTTTGAGGTTCAGAAATGTTTGAGATATAAAACAATTTTACTTTAGATTTGGTTGGAATTGTTTGATACAATTTGAAGATTTTTCTAGTAATAATGCGTATCGTCTATTGGAAAAATATCGACAGAAGTATTGCACATTTAACGATGATATTCAAGGTATACAAACAAATATTGACATAGATTTGCTTCTATTAATTCGCCTTTTTCTTCTAGGTACAGCTGCAGTTGTACTTGCTGGATTGTTCGGTGCACTACGAATAACTGGAAAGAAATTACATGAAAATACTTACTTATTTGTTGGAGCTGGACAGGTAAATTTAGGACGTACAATAGAAGAAAAATTTTCTATTTCATTTTTCGTTTTGAAAAAGGCTGCATGTGGGATAGCTGATTTGATTACAACTGCAATGGTAAAAGAAGGTACATCAACTGAAGAAGCAAGAAGTAAAATTTGGATGTACGATGTACATGGTTTAATTGTTGAAGTACGTAGATATATTAAAAACACACTATCAACAGAATTTTCCTTGCCATAGTTGGTGAAACTCTCATAATTCTATAAATTCATCATATATGTAGTGTTTCTGCTAAATATCTGAGACTGGTAAAACTATCCATAAATTATTAATGTCATTAATCACGCACGCCTCCGTTATGAAACTCTCGAGAAAGATGTGGTTTAATGTAAAAATAAAACATTTTCAAAAGTACAAACAGTTGCATTTTCAAGCATTGTTTTTTCAGTCAATTTCTAAAAAATCAGATAAATACCATTTGTTTGTTCAGATTTGAATGATGTCAACGTTTAGAGCATACCAGACATTATCTTTACTCTCGATTTTGAGTACAGTCCTTTCAATTTGACGGGATTGTGGAGGAACAAGTTTTCGACACTTCGCAGAAACGTATCATTATACTAAAATAATAGCAATTTTGTCTTCCTTCGAGTCTATATAAGCACAACAAAACAGTGACGGATAATATGATATTAATATTCTCACTAATAACTCGGCAGACTCTTAACTGACTTTGATTCATGGTAACTAAGGAAAAGGTGTCCAAAACCCTGAGATTTTAGTTTTTGGTGGTACGTTACATATTTTCTGAAAAGACACATTTTTAGTCTATATGAGTAGATCGTAAAATCGACTCTTGCCGGGAAAAAATCAGATTTTTTAAATTTATTTTGGCTAAAATACTGAAAACACATCGTAAAGAGTCAAAGTAAGTCGAATTTTTTGCAAATAGGGAAAAAATAACAGTCGCAAACACATAATTATCTTAAAATGAACGCTCTTTCGTTTCGGATAGTTTAATTCAGAATAAACTCTTGGTTGAATTTAACACGTCTATTTCTCTTTCTTCGCTGTTTTCGCTTATTTAAAGATTATCACTTTAATGATGTCTTTATCTTGAAGGGACGACCTCAAAGGGATATAAAAGGTCCCAAAGCCTCATATGTAAAAAAAGGCAAACCAATTAAAGATTTAGCAGCTGTCATTGGACATGTTAAACCATCCGTTATGATGGGTAAGTTTTGGATAGACAATAGAACGTTGAATGTTTAAACAGCATGTTTTTAGGCGCAAGCGGTGTTGCTCGTTTATTTCATGAGGGTGTACTTCGAAAAATGGCACAAATCAATGAAAGACCGATTATATTCGCCCTGTCCAATCCAACGAGTCGAGCAGAGTGTACTGCAAGTGACGCTTACCATGAAACAGACGTAAATATTTGACACACGATAAATGCATGTAACATATAAGCAGAAAAAGTGACTGAATTTTCATGTTAAGAATATGAATGTAACAGTTATTGAGTTTTAAAAGCTACAGTAGGAATCAACGTAATAAAAGTTCCTTAATAGTCCCAGACATATCGAAGTTTGCTTTACTTTTATTTATAATTTGAGCTAACTTAGATCTGCGCCACGTTTTAGGGACGGTGCGTTTTCTCATCAGGTTCACCATTTCGTCCAGTTGTTTATAAAGAAAAAATGTTTCATCCGGGTAAATTTTGTAAAACTGTTGAAATCGAATTGTTGTACAATTTTTTGTAATTTTGATTTTAGGTCAGGGAAACAACGCTTATATTTTTCCTGCTATTGCACTAGCTGTTGTTGCTTGTTCAGCAAGACATGTCGAAGAAGATATGTTTTTCTTAGCGGCACAGGTCAGTCAACATTCTATTTGACACTCTCACTTTAATTTAGCGGTTTTGTCTCTATTTCAGCATCTTGGAGCCCTGGTGAGTCAAGAGGATCTTGATTCTGGACGCGTATATCCACCCATTTCAACCATACAAGAAGTAACAGTCAAAATCGCCACTAAACTTGCTGAATGGTTATATGAAACAAAAAGAGCTTGGAACTACCCGGAACCATTGGATAAAGAAGCGTTTATTCGAATGCAATTGTACGATACTTCTTACGATTACTTTGGACCAAACACTTGGTAGGTCATATCGAGTATCCTCATGAAAAACCTGTATTAACGCTTAAATCCTCTAGGAAATGGCCCGAAGACGCAACAAAACCACGGAATGTACCACAATTGGACGACGAAGCATGGATACCATCTTAAAAGAAAACGTGTGTGTGTGTCTCAGGTTTTTCTCATATTTGCCAGATCTGAGTGTTTTTTTACACATGTACAATAATATTATGTGAATCGATTCCATTCTAGATATGAAATGCATTTTATCTTTTCTTTAAATTCCATTTTGTGTTTGTGTTGTTATTGTATTCCTAAAAATCAAAATTCGGAGACAAATAGTGATATTTATTCCATTAAGATATGAAAACAATGTATTTTTGACCGTTGTTATTTATTTTGAAAGTATTTATTTACTTATTTATTGTAAAGTATTTTTGAACTTTTAAATATTTTGTAGAGATTATATTTAAATAATAAGACATTGGTTGAGAAGAACAACACTAACCCCGAATTTAGCTCATTACATCGTTGAAGATCAATGAATTTTCCATTTAAGGACATACCTTATTTAACTGATTTAATGGAAATTTGTAGAATCGAACATTTTTTGTTTGTCCACTAAACGATGAGGATCCTACTATTTTTTCAGTGATTGAAATTGGTGTAATTTCATCTCAGAGCACATTCATTTACAGCAAATAATCTTCACTCGTACATTACACGTCTGGTGGATATTACTGTTCGTCTTTCTTTTTTCAATGTATTAGGTTGAGGAAAAAGTTCGTGCGCCGTGTTAAAATAATGATTTTTTATATATTTTTTTTTGTGTTTTTGATCTGGTTTTGTGGCTATTATGAAAATTTATTGATTTTTTAAGATGT